TAAAAAATATAAATTGATATAATTTTATAATAATACTTACTTGTTGGATAATCGCCTTTATCTCCCGGATTTGCAGTGCTTGAGGACTGCTCTTATCTACAAATCTTTGCAACTGAAAAATAAATGATAATAAATAAATAGATAAATAAATAAATATATAATGAGAAAAAATACTTATAGTTATTAATATTAGAATTAATAGCCGATATAACGGCTCTCTTACTACAGCCTGAACGGTAGGATTAGTAAGCTGAATATGAATAATAATATTATTATTAAAAAAAATTCTAAAAGTTATTTTAATTATTTTTAAATTATTTAAAAATTATTCTCACAGTTTCTAAAAACTCGCACGCTTTAATAATATTCTCCATAGTTTGTTTTATCTTTATTATTAAATAAATTTTATAAAAATATGAAAACTTACTAATGTTTAAATAATAAACAATCAGCACTTTACTGTGAACAGCTCGAAGTTTCCTTTAAGACTGAACAACGAAAATCCTACCGAACACTTACGAGGGTGGTCCGATAAGTACTTAGCCTACAAAAGAAAAATGAAAATTTTGGAAAAGTGGCGTTTTATTTTTCAACATAGTCTCCTTTTAGTTCGATATACTTGGCCCAGCGATGCTTCAACTTCTTTAACCCGTCTGAAAAATACGTTTCCTCGAGGTCTGAAAAGTAGGCTTCCGTGGCAGCTATTACCTCCTCATTCGACTCAAATTTCTGCCCAGTGAATGACTTTTTCAAGTTTCGAAACAAAAAGAAGTCGCACGGGGCTAAATCTGGAGAATACGGTGGATGGAGCAGCAGTTCGTAGCCTAATTTGACCAATTTGGCCATGGCGACGGCAGAGGTGTGAGCCGGTGCGTTGTCATGGTGGAAGAGCACTTTTTTCTTTGCCAAATGGGGCCGCTTTTTCTGCAATTGCGGCCCAATAATTTGGCATAGTACAGCCCTGTGACCGTTTTGCCCCTCTCCAGGTAGTCGATGTAGATCACACCTTGTGAATCCCAGAAAACGGTGTCCATCACCTTTCCGGCCAATGGGGCAGTCTTCGCCTTCTTCAGAGCACTTTCGCCGGGTAAAGTCCACTGTTTCGACTGTTCCTTGGTCTCTGGTGTATACCAGTGGATCCATGTTTCGTCGACTGTCACGAAACGACGCAGAAACTCCTTCTGATTGCGCTTAAACAGCGTCAGACATTGCTCTGAAGTTGTTTCACGGTTGCGCTTGTTGTCCGGAGTAAGCAAACGCGGCACCCATCGCGCCGACAGCTTTCTCATGCCTAAAATTTCATGCAGGACATGACCCACGCGGTCTTTTGAGATGCCTACGATCTTAGCTATCTTGCGCACCTTCAATCGTCGATCTGCCAATACAAGATGGTGAATTTTTGTCACGTTATTCTCCGTGGTAGCCGTTTTCGGAGCACCTGGACGTGGCTCTTCAAAAATCGACGTGCGACCACGTTGAAACTTGTTAAACCAATTTTTGACGGTTGCCATCGAAGGAGAAGCGTCACCGTACACCGCATCCAAGCGCTTTTTGATTTCGCTGCGCGATTTCCCTTCCAAAAACAAGAACCGAATCACCGACCGATACTGCTCTTTTTACATTTTTCAAAAATCAACGGACACACTTGCTTTCACGCGCTCTCAAAAATAAACTACAACTCCGATCCGGCTAAAATCTTGATAGTAACTATTGAAAAGGTTTTACTACGTGACAGAATATTTCTTTTGCGAGAGTGGCGCCATCGGGCAGTGAGGCTAAGTACTTATCGGACCACCCTCGTACACTATTATTAGGTACAATTTTTCTACAATATACGTAACGCTACAGACAAACGTAGACTTTCTTTGAATGAGATAGGACGTTTGGTGTGCCCTTTCCCTTCCCATGTGTGCTAGAAAGTTTGCCAATTTCTAAAAAACTTCATAAATCTTGAGCGACGTGCCGGTGACTTTATGGTCATCCGCAAAAAACGTATTTAACGCAGATGGTCACGCGTCCATGCTAATGAGTTTGTTTGATCATCCTTAAACTGTCTATAATCTGCATTTGTGATAGTCATAGGCAACATAAGATAAGAGGGAAGGTAGTAAGCATAGATGCCCTCTCTTTCTGAAAGTAGTGGAGAAGCTTGATCACCCTCAAACCAGCTGTGATCTACATTTATGATAGACATAATTAACTTAAGATAAGAGGGTAGTTAGTAAGCATAGCTGCTCGTGCGCTCCCCTTCTCCTCGCTCTGTAGTCCACGCTGAGTCAGAGCTAGAGAGAGAGAGCATACGTTTACTACTACTATAGTAGCGCATCCCCATCAGGCAAAAACTAGAGACAGTATGCGCTCCCGTCCTCCTCCACACGCTGTGGTCCACGCTGAGTCAGAGCTAGAGCATCCTGAAGTTAGAACTATAGACAGCATGCCTCCCCCCCGCACGCTCAGGCCCTATACCAAATGTATGCGTGTGTAGCTAATATACACAATATGCATCCTCTAAGGTATATGTGGCATTGGCTCTAGTGGTAGAGCGCTAGCCTGCCAACCCAGAGGACTCCGGTTCGATTCTCCGGTCTGTCTCTTCATTTTTTTCAAAAATCGTAGCTATTTTCTACTCGTTTCATTTTCAATGTAGCAAGTAAATTGTCAATAATATATATTTGTAACTTTAAAAAAAATAAATTTAAATTTAATTAGACTGAAAGCACTAGGTATAGGATCCCTAGGGACTAGGAGCACTAGGGACTAGGAGCCCTAGAAATCATCCTCAAAAATTATAAACAATTATTAACATTAATAATAATCAACATGGAAGGGTTAGGCCAATCAATGGGTTAAACCAGGGACCCCCCACGAATATTGTTAATAATAATTGTTAAAAATAATAATAATAATAATTATTAACAAAAAGGGTTAAGTCAGGGGGGGCCAAAGAGTTACGGACCCCCCGCAGGTGTGCTGGAACATACATTGCTATACTACTTATCTGACCTAGGAAAGGGGCGTTGTCGGAAACCCGGCGATCAGCTTCAGCCGGTGTCGCTCTGCCGCTCCTCGACGTCCCTTTCGCTGTGACTGCACGTCCTCTCGGACTTTCAGGAGAGTCTAGGAAGGGCTGGTTGCCTCTCGTAGCCCTCTCGCTTCTTTTCGACAACAAAGGAAGACCGATGAATGCTTGGATCACTCCTTCTTATAGCTCACGACGCTAGCCTGACCAGTACTGCCCGTGCGCTCTCATTCCTCGCGGTATTCCCGCCCCTTTCTTCAACATCAAAAATCAGCCGAGCGCCGCCGGCTACGTACACACGTGCGAGTCACGCCGGCGACACTATTTCTCTCTCTCTATATATATATATATCTCCTTTTCTCACACGGCTCCAACCACAGACGCCGATCAGGAACTAAACCTGAAACAAAGCCACATCGAGCGTCGATACTTGGTCCGAATCAACAAGATATCGATGTGACAAAGGCGAAGGGAAAGGCAAGCGGAAGAGAGAGAGAGGCAAACAGGGTGAGCAATCTCAACGATTGCCTCACCCGTCACACTCTCAAGTGATTAATTAAGCAATTCTTTCCTTTCCTATTGTAATTTACGCTCGACACATAGAATATTTCGCGCTATGAGAAACTTGGGCTGAATTACATCCTTTTTTACAAGAGAGACTTAAGCTCTGCTTATGGGACACTTCGCACCATAAGAAACTAGGGTAAAGTCTATCTTTCCTTAAGCCTAATTCAAACAATCATAGATATTTCATTTATAATTTTATTTCAAACTCAATATTCATGAATATTTTCAAAGTTAAAACGAATTCTTACTCATTAACGCGACAGACCATGAGAGTACGAACAAAATAATAAATAATAGGTGATATTAACATAACAATTTGAAATGCTATATATCCATTTACATGACAATAGCTAAAATAGGAAAGCGGATCTACAATTTTTCAGCCATATATATAAACCACTATTGATTTCAATGAAAAGGAACTATAAATGAACGATTTCCGTATATGAACATTGTCTGATTTCTTAATAATAATTTGATGGACAAGGAGTACTTTTCCTTAGCCTTTAATAACTTGACTACTTGAGAAATCAGTTTAGAACTTATTTATTGTTTTTAATTCTTTATGATGCTATATGATCTAAAAGTTTCAATAGTTAAAAATAAAATAAAAAAATTTTACAACAAATATACTACCAGACTACAAAACCACCTAAAAAAACTTATCAAAAATCTTGCTAAAATAACTATCAGATCCAGCAGACTCAAAAAACATGCATTAATGAATACATGAATAAATCTTAACCCATTTTTTAAAGATAGAATACTTACTGGAGTATACTTTCAAATCTCATGTACATATTTTATATAGCAATAAGATTGACTTATTATCTTAAAACATAAAATAAATTCTAAATAAACATAGTGTAATAAAAACGATCTCGTAAATAAAGTTTTCTAATAAGTACATGTGGAACGAATTAGTTCCTTGTTAATCTCTCTCCTTTCTATTATTTAGTTCTTAATGCGAATTTAAAAGTTTATCACCGTTTGTTTGGTCAATAAAGAGTTTAAATTTAAATATGAATACTACAGTCAACTATGTTCAGCATTGCTTCCAAAACTTAAATAAAGTTTCAAGCTGATTAATCTCGCTTATTTATTACTAAATATTTGTCACCAGCAATAAATATCATAGACAGACATTATCCCTTGCTTAAAATAAAATAAAGCATACAGTCAAAAAAAAACGTTAATTCTAATTTCAAGAGTAGAGAATAGTGGAAGGTAATGGAGCAAGATAGTACAGTGAAGTATAATTAAGTGAGAAGAAAACAGATTTAAACATTGAGAAATAATAAATAACATAGAAATAATAACATAGAAAGAACTTATATTTAAAAAAAAAGAAATGAGAGGGTTAGTTGTAAATTTTTTTATGTCTATGTATATGTATATATATGTATATACATACCTGTATGCCTTGAATATCATCACTATCCAACATGAAGTTTGGATCATATCCTCTATAAAAAGGCGCCATTAATGCTGATCTAACATCGCTGTGACTAAGACCGAGAGAATGTCCAAACTCGTGTGCTGCTACTTGAAATAAATTTGTTCCTCTAAAACTATTTATCGTCCAGTGCTCGGAATCATCAAAATGTGCATCTCCACCGTAAACGGGAAAGTAAGCATGAGCCAAGGTACCTCCAGGGCCATCGAAAGGATCACCATCTCCATGTTCGCCTCTTTCAAATCGAACCTCTATATGTACCTATTGATGATAAATAAATATATAAATAAAGCAAACGTGAATGTGTATGCGTGTGTATTCTTGTTTGTTTTTTTTAACTTAGGAAGAGAAAGCATTGTTTTCGTTAATAATTATGTTATAGTTGAATTTTTATTCGGTTTTGAGTAATTACTAATAAAATATATTTGCACATAATTTTCTGCAAATACCTTAGCGCCTGGAAATTGTATGTTTTGTAGTCACCTGTTTTAATTTGGTATACCTATTTAGTCTGCCTAGTAATATATGTGAGGCATTTCAATCGTATAGATAGGAAATATTTAGTAAAAAGTTTATTATATTTTTATTAATTGCCAATCTATTGTCTTTTTCTACGTGCGTCATTGTTCTGAATTTGGGTGATTTTAAAATTCAATAATTCAGATATTACGTATATAATTTGTCTATTTTTTCAATTTATTGTATTTAAATGGTTTATATCTAGTAAAATATTTTAATGTATTACTTTGTTCAAGTTAATAAGGAATTATGAAAAATGATAATTTGTTTGCATACGAGTATATCTTAGCATCTGGTATTTCTACAATTTTTAAAATATTTTTATGAAACATGACACATTTTTCCACAGATGTAATATAATTAATTTGCATACAATTGAATTGTTAATGAAAAAGTTATGTAATTTATTACATTTCTGTAACATTGTGCGTTTTGTACTTTTGCTTCATTGAGGTAAAATTATTGTTAATGTAGTTATTCCTGGAAAATATTTTTTTATATAATCTTTAGTGTATTATAAATAATAATGTATTATAAACCGTTTTATAACATAATTGATTAAATCAAAAAAATAAGTATCTAGAACTAATGACATTTACATAGACAAATAACTGCCGAACTTCCTTTGGATTATGATATTGGCTATCCGATGTAATTTTAATAATTATTTCGTTAAATAACACTTACTTTCAATAAGAAAAAAAAGTACAAAAAAAATGAAAGACACGAATATAAAATTCAATAATGGATTAGACGTAATTTGGGTATCCAATCGCATTAATAGAATTAACGGCAGGTTTCTGGGTGAAACTTTTTCCTCTTAGTCCAACGAACACGTGACCAGCTGTTACGATCGACGTGGAGACGAGCAAAATTGCTTGACCACACACATGTTAGAGAGAGGTAAAGAGAGATAAATACGGGCTTATAGAAACCTTCGCAATCCGGTGACAGCCTCCTGGTTACGGCTTTTCTTGCTGCTCTCCTATCGATACTGCCGTCACGTTTGGTTACTAGACATTTGAACTAAACCATAACCCTATGTTCAAAAAGAACGCTGAAATCAACATACTAGCTACCATCATTGAGTGGCGATTTTAAGGAAACAACTATAGACATGATTGGCTTTTCATCATCAAATTCATCTTTAGCTTTTTAGACTCATTTTTTTAGACGGTGGAAGACCGTCTTCATCTGCCAAATTTACGATTTTTACTGTTATCTCAGGTATTTTGAAGTTCGGTAGTTGTTAACCGGACTGATCAATCTAGCTTCCGTGATACCTCATTTTTAGCATACAGTGTGCAAAAGTGCTAAATATTATTAAAAGCAACATTGTTTTGTGTGGTTAATTACACAGATCTGCATGGTTTATTGTTGGCCAACTGAAGGTCATTTCTGAAGTAATTTTTCAGGTAGAATTCGACTCTAGAGTTAGAATTTGCCCGTTATGTCAGGTTTTTTTGGATACCTTAACCCAAAGAGGCAAAAAAGTCGGTTTTTTAGTATAATTAAAAGTCCCGTAATATCGTGGAAAATTTTTTACTGAAAATAGGAAAAACCATCTGAAAGGTCAACTTTTACCCTTTAAAATTCATTTTTAGGGTTTGAGATATCTTGTTTTTTCATTGACATATCGTTGATTGAAATCAAGTATTTAAGCAAATTTGAAATAGCTAACTTCCAAAGTATGCGCATATGGCATGTGCAAGGATATCGATGTTGTAGGTTACAATTATCGAATTTAAGAGTAATTAAACAGCACTGCCATTCAAATATTAATGCTTTTACTTTGCATAAAAGCTTTTTTTTTTAAAGTTTACGAATATTCAATCCGCTATACATAGTTACCTGTATCCGCTATACAGGTAAATACACTATTTTTTGTACTGTTTTACGACATGTAATATTGTAAATCAGCTCGAGTGACTTAAAAATCGCACTGATAATGAAAAAATACCAAAATTAAATTGATGTGTTTTCGGATTAAAAAAAAATACGTTTAAGAGGTGTTTCACCCCCTAAAAACCACCCCCGTCAAACTATCAGCAGGTTAATTCACCTAAAGCTGGGATAAACAAGTTTAGTCGTTTGTTTTTTCTTGAAATAATTTAATCCTATGCATTAGCGAGCTACCTCAACTAACCAATCTGCCTCTAACCCACCAAACCCCCATAAACCACCCTTACCGAACCACATGCAGGCTAACCCACCGAATCCTGGGAAAAGCAACTTTAGTCGTTTGTTATTTCTTCAAATAATTGAATTTTACACCATAAGCGAGTTATTCCAGCTGAATCACATACCTCTTATCCACCTACCCCAAACCTATCTAACCCCCACCCTTATAAACCACCGTTACGGAAACACAAGCAGGCTAAACCTCCGAACCCTGGGAAACACGAGTTAAGTCGTTTGTTATTTCCTGAAATAATTTAATCCTACGCCTGAGCGAGCTACCTCAACTAACCAACCTGACTCTAACCCACCAAACCCCCATAAGCCACCCTTACCCAACCAAATGTAGGCTAATAGACCTAACTTTGGAAGAATTGAGTTTATGAGTTGCTTTTTCTTAAAATAATTGGTTTCTACACCGTACGTGGGGTATCCCATTTTTTTTTTGATAAAATATATCTATAGCTCAAACATAATTTATGACAAATAAAAATATGTTTAATACATTTTATTTTAATAGTACTAAAATGGCGAGAAATATCTCTTAAAAATAAATACGAGAATAACACGAGGTCTAATTATCATTTATAGATCTATACATATATAGTTTAGTTTATTTATTTACAACTTATATGTTACATTTGGTTTACATTTCTTATATTGCTATTTGTGTCTCGTATCCAGTTTGTGTAGTTGATTGTGTATGTGTTTTGTGTGTGTGTGTGTGTGTGTGAGTGCGCGCGTGCGTGTGTGTGTGTGTGTTGTATAAATGTGTGCATTTGTAGGTGTGTCTGCAACTCTTGTGTCCCTGTCTTCTGCGCCTGTCTGTTCCTCTTTTCTTCTCATTTTTTTTTTTGATTAATCTTCTCTTCCTCTTTCTCGCTCCAAGATCTGCCTTTTCCGCTCTTCTGTTTTTTTTTCTCTTTCTTGCATATTTTCTTTTCAGCTTTTCCTTTATTACTTTCTTTTGCCTTTTCATCTTTGCCTTTCCTTTGCTTTTGCTCTCCTTCTTGCTAATCATTTCATCTATCTTTCTCCTTATTAAGGCTTTGACACCTTTTTCTTGTTTCCTATTGCTCCCTCTGCCTTTCCTTTCCTCAACCTCACTTATTTTTCCTTAGTATCTTATGCTTTGTCTTCTAGTTTACCTTTATCTTTCTCTTCTTCGATTCTTCTTCTTTTCCATTTTGCTCCATCCTCCAATACCTTCTTCCTCTCGCTTGTGTAGTTGCTGTTACTTGTGTCTTGTGTGTGTGTGTGCATGTGTATGCTTATGTTTGCGCGTATGTTCGTGTTTTGTGTGTATGTGTGTCTATCTACACGATGTGTCTGCGAGTCTTGCATCTCTGTCTTCTGTTTCCGTCTCTCCTTAGAGTCTTGCAGCTTCGTCTTCTTGCTTTTCTTTTTCTTTCTTCTCTTCGTTTTTTCTTCTTTTCCATTATATCTCCATCATCCACGCTATCTTTTCTTTGCTTCCTATTATTATTTTTTCCCATTGTTCCCCTTCCTTTCTGCTTTTTTCACATTTTTCTACCAGGTGCTTCCAATTTTCTTCCTCTTTCATACACATTCTACATCTCTTATTTTCTTCTTTTTCCCAATACTTGCTTCCTCTCGTTTCATTACCTAACCTAAATATTTCCCTTATTTGTAGGCCTTTTATTCTTCCCTCTCCTTGAATTTCCTTTAATCTATACTTTTTCAATTCTACTTTATAGTTCTTTCTACTCTTTCATGTATCTTGACTTTTCTAGCTTTTCTTCTAGTTCTTTTTCATCTTTTTTCTTTACCTCATCTCTTATTTCTTCCCAAAACTCTTCCCACATTTCATCTTCCTCTTTCCTCTCTCTGTATATTTTACTTTTTTCCATCCTTTCCTCTCTCTCCTCCTTCTTACTCTTTTTATCTTTTTCATTTCTTTCCCTTTTCTTTAATTCTCTCCATGCTTCTTTTTTTATTGAGCCATCAATTTCTTCTCTTATTTTGTTTTCATACTTCATTGCTCTTTCTAATGCTGTTTCTTTCATTTCTTGTCTTTCTGTTTCCCATCGTATTAGGTAACTTGGCGTGTTTCTATCTAATCCTAAAATCCACTTTATGTATTTTAGTTGTAGTCTTTCTATTTCCTCATATCTCTTCCATCCCCGGATTTCTGCTTCATACATAATCACGCTTTTCGCCAGAGCATCGAACAGGTTCATCCTTTGCTCCCAGTTTTCTCTAAATAGCTTTTCTCCTAGCCCCCATAACTTTCCGAGTCCCATATTTATTTTCCCTTCTACTTTCTTTATCTGCTTTTTGTTTCCGTTATTTCTGCTTATCACATATCCTAAGTAGTTGTACTCTTTCACCATCTCTATCTTCTCATCTTCCCATTCGAATTCTTCTTCCTTTCCCCTTCCTCCTCCTCTCCTGCATTTCATCATCTTTGATTTTCCTACATTTAACTCTAATCCCCTTTCTTCCAGGTATCTTTTTAATTTTTTCAGCATTGCTTTCATTCCACTTTCACTCTTTGCCATCATCACTATATCATCTGCATATCCTAATGTCCATATTTTCTT